AAAAAAAAGAAAGGAGTTTGTTCTACGTATCATGCTGTCTCAAGGCTATAATAATCTCTGCTATGAGACTTCCTTCTAAGATCTATACCCTTTGAAAACAAAGAGTAAACCAGCATCAGAGCAATAAACCCAAAGCAATGAGCTCCATAAAAACCACACATAAAAAATGTGTCTCTGCCTAATGTTTAGGCAATTCTGTGTCAAAGTTAAACAGATTTATTATCTGTTGAACTTCAAAGAGCCTTGAACTTGCCAGTATACATGGTAGGCCTTCAAGGTGGTATAATATGCAATATTTTATAACTCTATTTACTCACTGAATTCTTTTTTCATGGAAGATCCACTGACACTTTATGGGAATGGGGGTGAGGTGGGAAATACTAGTCCACACTTAATAAAAGACTGTCCCATTCACAGAGAGAAATTCTCCAGCTGGTTTAGATGGTGTAGCTGGGCCCACAAGTCAAGTCTATAGTGCCATAAATGCCTACAAAGCAAGGTCAAGGCCCTGTGTTCAGATAGTATGAAGATGATTAAGACCTGCCTTCAACATCAAAGAGAACAGATCGTATTTGCTCTTTATCTTTGGGTTTTAAGCTCTGATTTGGAAGGCAAGGAATAGCAAGAAAAATAGACAAAAAAACATAGATATCATCATTGAGATAAAATAAATAGTCACACAGTAAAGACCAAAAGATTCTTAGTCTGAAAGTGACATGACCATTGTAGGAACGCAAAGGTACAAACCTGTCTTCAGTGTAACTGCAATAAGCCAAGCAAAAACGACTGACAAGAAAGTTCTGAAATTGCATGCGCACAAAAAAACCCCACCCTTAATTACAGTTATGTGAGAAATATCTTTCAATAACATCCAACTCCTCTGTCCTGCATAAGGAAGTAGCTTTAGTATCAGTTTTCAAAAACTGAAAATGAAAGGATAATTTTGAGAGACGAGGTTGTGTCTAAGCTTTGCCCATCTGAGATCAAGGAAATTCAAGGAAATTGAAGTGACAGATGCCAAGATCATCTCAAACTTCCTTTTGGGTGTGGGTTTCAGGGGCCTCCCAGGGTCCGCCTTTCTTCCGTGTTCTTATTTGCCCCTAGTTCTGGATCATTAGCTTGAAACTTAACTGCAACAGAGAATGTTTTCCAGAGTAAAGTGAACCACTGTGTCTTTGTGTTGCAAGACTGTCATGATGCATAAAGTATAGCGTAAAGCACAATAAATGACGTCACTGGGATGATCTGGCATCCCCAAGGAGGTAAGTGACTAGAAAGGTCACAGCCCTAACTGTGGCTGTTCTGTTCTCTCCACAGAGGGGACCGTTCTGAACAAAGGGCAATGAGAATGCGCAGCCTCGCTGAGTGCTAAGGGCATTTAGTGCACGAGGCTCTCCAGCCAGAGTCATTCATAAGGTTTTCATCATTGCTGCCCTTCAGTATGCCTCAGCTCAAGAGACCCCTTCAGGAAAGCAGCTTTCAACCATGTCAGAAGTAGAAGGAGAAAGGATGACCTGCAGTTTTTTAAACAAACTGGCTTGTTTTTAGACAGCTCAAGTATCTGCTGGTAATCCCTATTTTCTGCCACCTGGAGTAAGATAAAATTCCTACTGAACCTTTATGCTTAGTATAGCTATACCAAGCATTCAGCATTGTGAACAAAAGCCTTTCCCTCAAAGAGGCATTTGATTCCAGTGACTCAGCCAATGGAGGCAGGCAGTTGATCCAGAGGCACCTTGCACAAATGCCGTGGGACAAAAGACAAAAGGAAAGGCTGCTTCTCTCGTGGCTGTGACTTTTAAGCAAGATTGCTACTACCACAATTAATACCATGATCATTTACTATGAGGCAGAACAATGTGGACTTCTAAGCCTTCTTTTTCTCTACTTCTATCACATAGTGCTTCTAACAGTCTGCTTCCTGATAGGTAAACTCAGGCAGGGAAACCAAAATAAATAAATTTCAAGTATCCTTTCAGAAAATGGCAATTTTGATAAATGCTGGATATGTGGCTAAAAATGATTAAAACAAAACTTGGGCATCTTCGATGAGTGCACCTGCTCACCCATTCACCCTGTTCATCTATCATGCAAGGGGATTACTTTCATGTGATGCTCCATATAGATGCCACAAAGAAGCTAAAATTTGGATCTATGATATGGTTTGGCTATGTCCCCACCCATACCTCATGTTGAATTGTAGCTCCATAATCCCCACAAGCCGTGGGAGGTAATTGAGTCACAGGGTGGGTTTTTCCTGTGCCGTTCTCTTGATAGTGAATAGTCTCATGAGATCCTAAGTTTTATAAAGGGGACTTCCCCTGCACACACTCTCTTGCTTGCCACTACGTAAGACGTGCCTTTGCTCCTCTTTTGCCTTCTGCCATGATTGTGAGGCCTCCCTAGCCATGTGAACTGTGAGTCCATTAAACCTCTTGTTCTTTATAATTACCTAGTCTCAGGTATGTCTTTATTAGCAGTGTAGAACAGACTAATACAATTTGTCACTAGGGTTAGATTGATCAGGAATATGGCAACACAGAAGAAGCATGTTTTCCATGATCATGGTAAAGAAGAGACAGACTTGATAATGAAACTAGTGCATCTGCCCTTCCATGGATGTTCTGTGTCACAAAAGGAGGCAGCATTATCCCACTCTCTTTCTTTCCCAGCTGGGAAGAGAACCTGTCTGGAAACTGCCCACCTAACCACACCCAGGCATCATTACCCAGCTGCCTTTCCTGCTGCTGTACTGGGTCCAAGGTTCCTATCACAGCAGTGGTCTTTAGGCTTCAGAGAAATCAAAATCAAATGTCCCTTGGGTTTGACTGGAGTCATGCCTAACAGAGTCATTGGAAGGGCACTAGCTGGTAGTTAGGGAGGGAGCCTTTGTTTCACATGTAGATTCCCTTTGCCTTTTGTTTGCCACTGTGAAATGAAACCAGTACTTACACTAAAGAGTCCTCGCTGAACTTGCCAGCTTTAGCAAGGATCTAAAGGATCTTGCCAGCTTTAGATTGATTATAAGGCAGGAATTACCCGACATATTGATGCTCCCCCACCATACACCTACCCAGTTCTGAGTACACACTGGTATTGCAAATAAACATTGCCAACAATTCTGATACACACTTTCAGGGAGCAAGAAAACCTCTAGAGCTGGCAGGAGCCTGCTGCTGAGTTCCCTGCTCAGTCTTGGAAGACCAGAGTGGAATGTGCTCAGCAAGTATGCTCTGGTGGAAAGAAGGAAGGTTGGAAGGTTTCTTATGTCAGCAAACTCAATGTAATTATTCATAAAAGAATCATCTAGGCCATCTTCATAATCTGTAAGTCACAAGTGGTGCTCCTGAGCTCAACCTTGTCATTGGCCCCCCCTGCTATCGACCAATTTCTACCTGCCTCAGTCTCACTTTCAGGGCCCTGCATTTTAAGGTCAGAACTCCCAATCCAGCTTCATCTCACACCTTGCTCTCACAAAAGGGTCATGTTCCAGGCCTTCAAGTGAGTCAGAACTTAAAGCTGCCATATTTTGCCTTCTCTCATTTTATCTTTTCTCATCTGAGACTCCTTAAACTTCATCTGTCAAAATTACCCTAAGCTGGGATGGTTAATATTGTATGTCAACTTGACTGGGTGACAGAGTGCCCAGCTATGTGGCTGAACATGATTTCTGGGTGTGTCTGTGAAGGTGTTTACAGTGAGATTATTATTTGATCGGGGGACTCACTAATGCAGACTGCCCTCTCCAGTGTGGCTGGGCCTCATCCAATCCTTTGAGGGCCTGAAAAGAACAAAAGGTGAAGAAAGGAGGAATTCTCCCCTTTTCTTCTGCCCGAATGCTTAAGCTGAGACATCGGTCTTCTCCTATCCTTGGACTGAGATCTACACCACTGCCCCTGTTCTCAGGCCTTCAGACTTGGACTGAATTACACCACTGGCTCCTGGGTCTCCAGCTTGCAGACGGCAGATCGTGAAACTTCTCAATTACCTCTGTAATTGCATGAGTCAATTCCTCATCATAAATCTCCTTCTATACATACGTGTTCAATTAGCTGTTTCTCTAAAGAACCTTGACTATCACACAAGCCCAATTCCAGCACCACCTTTGCTGGGAGAGGCAGTCTGCCACAGGCTCCAGGCATCTTTGTGCATGCAAGGCCTAACCGTCTGCAACCCTGAGCCATGCTGGGGCTGGTCACATGGACAGAGAAGTAGGTCAAGGTGGCCACAGCATGACAACTGTGGAACTGCACAGAGGATCAGCTTGTTTGCTGCTCACTACACAGGGTGCTGAGCCCTTGACCCTCGTACCTTCAGCTGCACAATCCACCAAGTGGGTATATCACATTGCCCAATGGGACTTGGTGGGGCAGGGAACCTGTCACCTGGCTGATACACCTGGTTGTGTGCTATGCAGTGACGGACTGCATGTCCTGATCCAGTAAGTCTCGTGTCTAATTTCGGCTTGTCTGCAGCTGTGCCAGGCTGGCCAGTGAGCTTGCCTAGTCACTTCCTTTGGTGTCTGCTTACCTCTTGCCATTCTCTATGAGGATGAGGTTATTCCCTGATCTTCTTCTGCAAAATCCCATGAAATTTCTAAAAGGCCATGAATTGCTAGACTGCTAAGCCCTGTAGCTCCCTGACCTAATGCTACAATTATCTGGGTAGTCCACACTGTTTTTCTCTAAGAGCCTAAATTCCCTGAGGGCAAAAGTCAGGTGATAACAGAGGTGAGTTCTATATCTATCGCCTGAATAAGTAAATGAATGAATAAATGAATGAGAGAGTGAGGAAAGTCCCACAAGACTCCTTAGAATTTTGTAACTATTCAGTCACCTCTAATATTTACTATATCCTTTATGTTCCCCTGAAAGTTGCCTGCCTTGCCTAACTCAGTCACATCAGGTCTTTTCACAACCAAATGAAAGCTTCTAAATCTGAAATAAACCAGCAAGTCGAAAGGGGATGATTAATCATGCTCTTTTAGGGTTTAGACTTACGGAAGTCCCTCTACTCTGCCACACGTGGGATATCCGGTAGCCCACCAGTTCCCCATCCTGCCGCTTAGTTGGAGGCTTCATCCATCTGATGTCCACATTATCACTAGATACATTCAGAAACACAGTGACGTTTAAAGGTGCTACTGATGGGGCTACAAAAGAAAAAGGAGAGAAGAATGAAGAAAAGCACAAAGAAAAGCATTCTCAACATGGTTTTCAAGTGTTTGGTTTTCAAATGCTCTATGAAAAGCACTCAAATGAGACCAAGACTTATAGCAGATTTTCACCTTTTAAACTAAGGTTTTCACTGAGATATCACATGAGTTTTAACAAGTAAGCCCTTTTAGGTTACTGAAGCCTAGAAATTCACTTCTTAAGTTGAAAGTGTCAGCTAGAACATAGTAAGATCCTTTCTACAAAATAAACAAAAAATAGCTAACTGCTTGGTGCACATCTGTAGCTCCAGTCCCTCGGGAGACAGAGGCAGGAGGATTCCTTGAGCCCAGGAGGTTGAGGCTACAGTGAGACGTGATCATGCCACTGTACCTCAGCCTGGGCAGAAAAAGCAAGCAAGCAAGCATGCAAGCAAGGAAAGAAGGAAGGATGGAAGGAAGGAAGGAAGGAAGGAAGGAAGGAAGGAAGGAAGGAAGGAAGGAAGGAAAGAGAGAGAAAATGTTAGCTAGGTATGGTGGCTCATGCCTATAATCCCAGCACTTTGGGAGGCCAGAGGAGAGAATCACTTGAGGCCAGGAGATTGAGATCAGCCAGGGCAATACAGTGAGACCTCCATCTCCACTAAAAACAAAAAATTACCTGAGTGTGATGGCACTGGTCTGTAGTGCCAGCTACTTGGGAAGCTGAGGCAAGATCACTTGAGCCTGGGAAGTCAAGGCTGCAGTGAGCCGTGATTCCACCACTGCACTCTAGCCTGGGCCACAGGGCAAGACCCCATCTCAAAAAATAAGAAAAAAAAGGAAATTTCATGAGCACCTAAAGTAAAATAGCAAAGAAGAGGAAGGCAGGGAAGCAGGCAGGGTGGGTGGTGCTCTGGACTCTGGGGAAGCGCAGCAGACACAACTTGAACAATGTTCTCCAGCACAAACCTGTGGGGCAGAAAGTCAACAGCAGGCCGGAGATCAGCTTGGTGGCATTTGAGATGTACAAGGTAGGAAACACTGCTGAGTTCAGAATGCAGCCACCATAGTAAAGTCTAGAGGCAAGTTACTGACGGTCTGAACAGAGCTAGAGCTAATCTGTTAACACATTTAAAAAGTGCGTGTGTTGAGGTCACGAGTCTGAGACTAGCCTAACATGGTGAAACCCTGTCTCGACTAAAAATACAAAAATTAGCTGGGCATAGTGGTGGGTACCTGTAATCCCAGCTACTCATGAGGCTGAGGCAGGATAACTGCTTGAATCCAGGAGACAGAGGCTGCAGTGAGCTGAGATTGCACCACTGCACTCCAGCCTGGTGACAGAGTGAGACTCCATCACAAACAAAACAAAACAAAACAAAACAAGGTCCGTGTGTGTGTGTGTGTGTGTGTGTGTGTGTGTGAGAGAGAGAGAGAGAGAGAGAGAGCACATGTATGTATGTGTATAAAATAATTTGGGAAACAAGTCAAGATCATTACTATAGTCTTTTTGGGAGAGAGGAATTTAACTACATCCATTAAAATTGAAAATAATATGCTCTCTGACCAAGTATTTTATTTCCAGGAATTTAATCTGTAGATGGTTTTATATTCATTGCAGCATAATAGTGACAAATAGAAATAAATGTAATGCCCAGTCAATAATGATGATAAAACCTGGGAGGTGGAGGTTGCAGTGAGCTGAGATCATGTCCCTGCACTGTAGCCTGGGCAACAGTGTGAGACTTTGTCTCAAATAATAATAATACAAATTTTGATACATTTTCCAGTGGAATACTTACAACCCACCCACTGGAAAGAGTTAGTTAATACGTGTTTTGATATAAAAAATATCCAATAGGGGAAAAATCAGATTGTAAAAGGTATGTATAGATCCATTTTTGAAATTAAAAAATAAATCTTCTACACCTAGAAAGAATAAAAACAAGTGGAATAATATACACCAAACTGTTGCCTGTAGTTGTAATTAGGGGAGGTTAAATTATATATATATATATATATATATATATATATATATATATATATCAGATATGTGTGAAAGGAAAACAAAAGGATACCATAATCCTCTTTGTCTCTGCTGATTCCAGAAACAGGAATCATAACGTTAACACGAATTTCAGCTAAGAAAATGTCATACAGCTAAAGCTGCCTATGAAATCAGTCACACACTTTCAAACCTGTTGTAGAATTTGAGGATAAATATGGCCAACACAATATGTCTGTATGTCTGCCTCCTCCCAAAACCCCTCTATGATGACAATAAAGAATTAAAAAAGATATAAACTCAGAAGGCAAAGTAGGAGAGAGATTTCAACACATATTTGAAAGCTGAAAAAGAGACGAAGAAGGTGTAATTGACTCAGCAAGCCAGTGTTCCCCCAGAGAACCACAGAGCAGCTCAGAAGCTGTGGACCCAGGTAGTAAAACGGGGACTAAACTGGAAAGATTGATTGGAAGTCTGATTAAGAAACAGTTGCTCCTCAAAGTCTGTCTTCTCCATCCCTACACACCTGGCAAATATGCCGTCAAATATCTAACAGAAGACAGGGTGAATTATTTTCTGAAGCAAAAAGCCACTAAAGTTAGGGCACCTATAGAATGGAAGCATAATAAGGAACCAGGCTGAAAACTGAGGAAATAAATGAAAGTTTGTATGCTAAATGACAAGGACTCTACCTTCCCCTCCTCCCCTGCTTGGTGGCTAGAACATCAGCAGCCATGTTTAATTCCTGGGGCAGAAGACTTCTTTTCTAGAGGAAGTGAGTGGCTACAGAGGAAAGGAACCAATTTTGACACTTAGGGGTATCTGGATCAAAATACTTACATCACTGCCCATTCACCTGATAGTGATGCCTACAAACTCTGCCCACACTCACAGAGTTCCAATCAAATCAATGATTCTTCACTCTTCCATTGGAGCAGACAGCAGAAATTGGCAGAGGTCTAGGGAAGCCTCCCTCCTGAATGTCAGGGACCAAAAAACCACACAGAACAGAGTGCTTAGAGGAGACTAAGCCACTGTAGGTAACTAGAGAAAACTAAAGACAAATAAACAAATTTTAAAAATGAGATATCCAGAAAAGGCTCTCATGATTGAACCAGAAAAAATTGTCAATGAAAAAAACTTGAAATTAGCAACACAATAAGTAAAATAAAATACTTGATAGAAGAATTGGAAGATTAATCAAGTACATCTCCAAGAAGGTAGAATAAAAAGGGAAAGAAAATAGGCCAATTTGAAAAAAGAAAATTGAGGAAGCAATCAAAGAGGTCTAATTAATAATTGTCTAACACAATTTCTGGAAAAAACAGAGTGGAACATTTCCAAAGGGGGGAAAAAGTATAAGGACCAAAGGACTTGCATTTCCAGGTAAAAGGGGCCACTGAATACCCATGATAATGACCAAAACAAATTGCACATCACAGCTTATCACAGAACCAGTATTAAAGAGAAAAGATATTCTAAAAACTAAAACTGAAAAGCACTTCATACAGAAAGCTTACCAGAATTTTTCATAGGAACCCATGAAGCTAAAAAATGATACAAAAATACCTTTAAACATCTGAGGGAAAGTAATTTTCAACCTAAAATTCTATATTTGGAAAAATGACTAAGCCAGTACTACACAAGGACATGCAAGATCCCACAATCTTTACTTTTTATGTATAGGTTCTGTGGAAGCTAATTGAGAATATGCTCCATGAAAGTAAGGGCATAAACTAAGAAGGGCAAATACCCAGGAGAAGGCACCAGAAACTTTATGATAACTCTAAAGGAAAATAGGAAAAAAACTACATGAAACAATTTAATGGTACCCAGGCCTCACACATGGCAAGAATAGTACTTGTTCTCATCAATCAGACTGGAAAGTCTAATGATTCAAGAAACACTGCATAGTCTTATCTCAGCAGTGGGTAATAATTTACCTTAAACTGAGCTCTGCTGGGGTTCTGCCTAACGAATCTTAAAAGCAAGACCCTCCAGGATTAAACTTTCCCACTAGCTTAACTGTGTCTCAAAACAAAGCTCACTACTTGTAGAAATACAAGAATATCTAATATCCAACACTATAAAATTCTCAATGTCTGTAATCCAATCAAAGATTATCAGGCATGCAAAGAACCTGAAAAATACTATCTAGAGTGGACCATAAATGAATCAGTTGAAACCACCCACAAATAACATAGATGTTAGGAGAGCAACAAAAGACACTGAAACAGTTATGAAAAGGCTGGGTGTGGTGGCTCATGCCTGTAATCCCACATTTTGGGAGGCTGAGGTGGGAAGATCATTTGAGGTCAGAAGGTTGAGACCAGCCTGGGCAAAATAGTGAGACCCTTTTTCTACCAAATAAACAAAAACAAACCACCAACAACAACCAAAAGAAGTACCAAAATTAGTTGGGTGTGGTGGCATAAGCCTTTAGTACCAGCTACTCAGAAGGTGAAGGCAGGAGGATTGCTTAAGCCCAGGAGTTCAAGACTGCAGTGAGCTATGATTGGCACTGCACTCAAGCTTATGAAACAGAATGAGACTCTGTCTCAAAAAAGGAAAATAAAAAAGAAAGGAAAAGAAAAGTAATTATAACTGCATTCTGGATGGACCAAAACTTAGACATTAAAATGTCAAAAAGAGATAAAAATTAGTGTATGAGATGAAATATAAACTGGATAGGACTAAAGTCAGATTAGATACTGCACCAAAAAAGATGAGTGAATTTGAAGACATAGCAATAGAAACTATCCAAAATAAAATGCATAGAGAAAAGAAGGGGAAAATAATAACAGATCATACGTGAGTTATGAGACAACTTCAAATGGCCTAATATATATGTAACTGGAGTCTTTAAAAGACAGGATAGGTAGAAAAAGAAAAAAATATGTGAAGAAATAATGGCCAATTTTTTTTTCCAAATTTGATGTAAACAACACAGAGACCCCAAAAGTCCAATGAACTCCAAATACAAGGAATATAAATAAAATTACACAAAAGCATGTCATAATTAAATTGCTCAAAATCAGTTATGGGGGAAAATGGGGACAAAAGACACATTACATACAGAAGAACAAAGTCAGGGTGACCACAGATTTCATGTGGGAAACAATGCAAGCAAGAAGACAGTGGAGCAACTTCTATTAATGTACTGACAGGAAAAAAAAACTAAACTAAAACTGTGAATACAGTTCTATACTTCGTAAAAATACCTTTCAAAAATGAAGGCTAAAAATTAAAATAAGACTTGAAATGTAAAATAAATATTTTCTCCTACACTACAGGAGCTGAATACCATACCACCAGATCCACACTACTGTATAAGAAATCATTTCTTAAAAAGTTCTTCAGGAAGAAGGAGAATGATACCAGATAAAATATAAAGACCAAAAAATGAAGACTACTAGAAATGGTAACTATATGCATAAACATGTTTTTCCTGGTTATATAAATCTCTCTATAAAAGATTGTTGACTGAACAAAAATAACAACAATGTAGCATGGGTTTTTAAGATACATTAAAATAAAATGTTTGACAACAAGAGCCAAAAACATCTGAAGGGGAAAATGGAATATATATGAAGTGGTATAAACTACTTGAAGGTAAACCATGTTAAGTTAAATATGCATACTGTGAATCCTACAGCAACTACTAAAAGGACAGAAAAAGAGCTATGGCTGGTAAGCTCAACAAAAAATTAAAAATTGAATCATAAAAAATTAAACAGAATCATAAATATATTAATATTAGAATATAGAAATAAAATATTTTTAAATAAAGAAAAAGAAGAAAAGGAGAACAAATAGAAAATATGATGCACTTAAACCTATCCATTTGAATGAGTCCATTATATTTTAATGGACTTGTGGGGTTATTTTATGTGTCTATATATGTTTGTGTACATGTATATAATAACCTACACACACACACACACAGGTTTTTGCCATGGTTTCTGGCTTACAACTCTCATAGCTATGGTTAGAATCTTTTGCTATGATGATGTGCTTTATGCCTCAGGGGCAGGCCTCAGGAAACAATCTCTGACCTCTTCCTGCCCTCCTTTCACGTGCCTCAGTGCAGGACTCTAATCTTCCCAATCCTTTTTTTTTTTTTTTTTTTTAGTCAGCTCACTGCAACCTCTGCCTCCTGGGTTCAAACAATTCTCTTGCCTCAGACTTCCGAGTAGCTGGGATTACAGGCATGCATCACCACACCTGGCTAATTTTTGTATTTTTACTAGAGACAGGGTTTCACCATGTTGGTCAGGCTGGTCTCGAACTCCTGACCTTGTGATCTGTCCACCTTGGCCTCTCAAAGTGTTGGGATTACAGGCGTGAGTCACTGCACCTGGCCTTAATCTTCCCTATCTTTCTGACTGTGGGTCATAAGACCCTTATTACAAAGGGGGTCCTGACCATAACTTGGAGGAAGGAATGCTGACGTCACGAAGCTTTGACAAAAAAACCAAGAGGGCAGGTTCAGAGAGTTTCCAGGTAGCTGAACATGTGGAGGTTCCTAGAGATGGTGTGCCCAGGGAACGTATGGAAGTTCCATGCCTTTTCCCTCTATACTGTGCCCTCTGGATCTCTCTCTCTTTTTTTTAAATCCTTTATAATATCCTTTATGATAAACTGGTAAACAAAAGGGTTTCCCTAAGGTCTGTGAACCGTTCCAGCAAATTAATTGGACACAAAACTGGGGTCATGGGAAACACTACTTGAAGTCGGTCAATCAGAAGTGCCAGAGGCCCAGATTTGTGATTAGCATCTAGAGGCCGGGGTTGGGGACAGCAGGGAGGAGAGGCCTGGGGATTTAGCCCTCAACCTGTGGGGTCTGAAGCTATCTCCATGCAGTGTCAGACTTGAATGAGAGGGCATACAGCTGGTCTCCACTGCAGAGCTGATTGCTTGTTGGTGGACAGAATTCCCCACACATGTTGGGGTCACCAAAGGCTTCTGTGTTGCTTGTTGTATTGGTAACATGTACTGATTGTCGTGTTGTGAGACAGCATGTTTTAAAGTGTGCTGGTATTGTCTTCCTATGTAAAAGAAAAGATTGCCTATACATAACAAGGCTAAGTTTTATCACTAAATCCTTTTAAAGTATGGAGGAACTATCATTTCCATTTTCATCAGTCACCTCAATAATTTTCTCCTCCAGAGACAAAGTCCAAACAAAGCAAAGTTTCAACTCTCAGTCAGTCCACTGGGAAGGGTTTGTTGAATCACATGCCATCAGGGTCAATATTCATTCTGAACCTCAGGAATTACCTCCTTCAGTCGTGCTGGCTAGAATCCAAGGGCTCACTGCAGACCAGCCTATTTCATTCATGCAGGAAACACCAATACTGTAATTAGCCAGGGCTTGCAGCTGCTTGATTTGATAGAGATGTGGTGAGGCAGAGGTGTTAAAAATCATGACTGAGCCATTACTCAGCGGATCAACTTCCTTGACCTAAACGAAGAGTAAACATGAGGCCCGGGCGTTAGTAAGGTGGTGGGAATGTCAGACGCGGGGCATGCGTGCATTCGGTGCACGTGGCCCTTCCTTTACACTGAGGGGAAGGACCTCCTTCCTTTCTGGGCACACACACATTTTCCCGCCAGCATCATTGTGTGTTACTCATGCCACTTAGACAACAAGTGAACACCTGAGGAAAATGCCTAAAATAACAATTCTCACTGTGGCAGGTAACGGAGCAAATAATTATAATAATTACACTTCATATTATACTATAAAATAAAGCTCCTCCTCTCTTAGAACTTCTTTGATTCTTGACTTCTTTTGGCTGCTTCACAGAATATACAACAGAGATAATAGATATCATATGTGCTGGCCAATCCTGAAATATTTATTATTTTGTCTTTCAAAGGAATTAGTTCCCAAATCCTGCTTTTAGAGAATAGGCGCCTTCCTTTCTCTCTCTCTCTCTTTCTTTCTTTCTTTCTTTCTTTCTTTCTTTCTTTCTTTCTTTCTTTCTCTCTCTCTCTTTTTTCTTTCCCTTTCTCTCTTCCTTTCCTTTCTTTCTTTTGTTCTTTCATTCTTTCCTTTGTTTCTTTCTTCTTTCTCTTTCTTTCCCTCTCTCTCTCTCTTTCTCTATTTCTTTTTCTTTGTTTCTTTCTTCGCTTCTTTCATTCTTTCTTTCTTTCTTTCCTTCTCTCTTTCTCTCTTTCTGACAGAGTTTTGCTTCTGTTACCCAGGCTGCAGTGCAGTGGCATGATCTTGGCTCACTGCAACCTCCACCTCCTGGGTTCAAGTACATTGTAATTCTTCTGCCTCAGCCTCCTGAGTAGGTGGGATTATAGGTTCCCACCACTCCTGGCTAATTTTGTATTTTTAGTAGAGACAGGGTTTCACCATGTTGTCCAGGCTGGTCTCGAATGCCAGACCTCAGGTGATCCGCCCACCTTGGCCTCCCAAAATGCTGGGATTATAGGAGTGAGTCACCATGCCCAGCATTTCTTAATCATTCTTTTTATTATGTAACCTGAGGAACACTGCTCTTGCCTTGAGGCTTTTATTATTATTATTATTATTATTATTGAGACAGAGTATGGCTCTGCTGCCCACTCCAGTATGGCTGGAGTACAATGGCACAGTCTTGGCTCACTGCAACCTCCGTTTCCCAAGTTCAAGTGATTTTCCCTCCTCAGCCTGCCAAGTAGCTGGGATCACAGGTGCCTGCCACCATGCCTGGCTAATTTTTTTTTCCATAGAGATGGGGTTTCACTATGTTAGCCAGGCTCATCTTGAACTCCTGACCTTAAGTGATCTGCCTGCCTTGGTCTCCCAAAGTGCTGAGATTACAGATGTGAGCCAATGCACCCATTCTGAGGCTAATTTAAGTGTGTCCTTTATTCTTAATCCCTTAATCCCAACAGAAATTTACTTCCAGAAGGACACAGGAAATGTAGATTCTTGGCTTTTTTTTTTTTTTCTTTTATTGGGAGATATAGGAAAGGGTTATGTGCCCCTCATCCAGCAATCTTTGCTCCAAATCTCCTTTAAACCTATTGCCTCATCTTTTCCTCTGGAATTCCACCAGTCTCTCCACATCCCCCTCCAAAACTCTGTATGCATAGGCAAGAGAGGGCAATTCCCAACACAAATCTAGTCCTGGGCAAAACTTCCATCTCTTTCCTTGCACACCTTCTGTCTGAGTATGGGGATAAGGGAGAGTATGGATGTTGCTTTCTATTACACGATTTTTTTTTTTTTTTTTTTTTTTTTTTTTT